ACGCGAGAACGTGGCCAGGTGCCGGCCTGTGCGTGCGTCCGTGCAGTGGGTCACCCGCTGACTCGCAGGAGTGAACTGGTGAGCCCCCGCATCCTGCAGGTCTGCACCACTCACCAAGTTCGTCGAGAACGAGGGGAGGTACAGGCCAGACAGGGTGCCCGAGGGGGCAGCCGGACACGGGAGGACAGTGGAAAAGTGAGCGAGGACAGGACCCCCAGAGGGGTCAGCCAGGGAGACTGCAACAGGCCGACCAAGCGGCGTGAGTGTGGTGCGGTCCCGAAAGGAGCGAGAAGCCCCAGAGTCAAGTGTAAAGGTGAGGGAGGCCGAAGCCAACGTGGTACCTGAGAGCGCAGCCTCACCCGCACCTGAGGAAGCAGACTCACTAGCACCTAGAGCAGCAGCCGCACCTGTACCTGGAGCAGGAGACTCACTAGCACCCAGAGCAGCAGCAGCCTCACCAGTAGCTAGAGCAGCAGGTCCTATACCCGGGTCAGGCGGTACGCACAGGTGACCGGCACGGTCAGCACTAGTAGGCAATGCATACATGGCAGTGAGAATAGCATCATAGTCAAGAGCAAATATATCTACCCTCTGCCTAAGCAACTCCACCCAGTCGGGGAGCTCAGCCTCGTCGCCAAACACGGTACGCCAGGCGTCGCTCAGACGGGCGAAGCAGCGGGACTGTGTATGACTAGGTGTCCCACAAGGCTGACCAGTCCGAGCACCAGTGAGAATCACGTAAGAGCAGCGAACAGAACTGAGAGACCCTCCACTCTGAGCGTACCACTCACGAAGCTGCTGAGGCGTGAGAGACGCGCGGGGGGGTCGCGGGAGCTGCATCTGGCCGCCACCAGTAGTAGAAGCAGCAGGAGTGGTAGCAGTAGTAGCGCCACCACCCCTACAGCCCCAACCAGCGTACCACTCACGCAGCTGCTGGGGCGTGAGGGACTCACCCAGACGTCGATGGGGCCGCATCTGGCTCCACCAGTAGAGGCAGGAGCAGGAGTAGCAGCAGTAAGGCAGGCAGCCAGGCAAGCCAAAAAGGGAGGCAGGCAGGCAAGCAGGCGACGCGCAGCGTGCTAGCAGGGCAGGGGCTCACCAGTGGTGGGTAGAGTAGGCTCTGCGACTCAGAGGCTCGGCAGCACGGCGGCTCTGCGGCTCGGGCGACTCGGGCGGCTCGGCGGCAGGGCGGCTCGGCAGCAACTGCAGCTCGGCAGCTCGGCGACCCGGCGGCGCGACTGTAGGGCGGCTCGGCTGCTGGGAGGCTCGGGTGTAGAGCGGCTCGGCTGCAGGGCGGCTCGGCTGCTGGGAGGCTCGGGTGTAAAGCGGCTCGGCGGCGAGGCGGCTCGGCTGCAGGGCGGCTCGAGACGAAGGAGGAGGAGAAGTAGGGGAGACCACACAACTGCCACCCCTCAGCTGGCCTCTCGTAGGTGATTGTCGAGGCGACCTGAGGGGGCCGCTTGCGGCCCCCGAAGGAGCCGCGACGGGCGACGGGAAAAGGGGGGGGGGGGAGGCGGCTCGGGCGGCTCGGGCGGCTCAGGCGGCTCGGGCAGCTCGGGCAGTCAGCGGCACAGGCGGCTCGGGCGGCTCGGCTCCTCAGCTGTGCAGACGGCTCGGGCGGCACAGGCGGCACAGGCGGCTCGGCTCCTCAGCTGTAGAGTAGCGGTGAGATTAGCTTCGTAGGTGAGACTGACGTCGGGAGTGGAGATGAAGTACTGTAGTGCTCGGCGTAGATCCATTAGATTCTCCCTTTCAGGTCGCTTCAGGTACTGTGCGAGCTGGCTTGCGACGTAGGAGAGATCGGGCCGGCACGTGACGTCGGCGAACATGAGACATCCCAGCTGCTGCTGATAGAGACGATGGTTGTCGGGAGAGAGAGGTGTGGTGTCCGGCTCGTGGTTAGGAGGAGGTGTGCGATAAGGGGTGGTGAGGTTGATTGGTGCGATGGCGAATCGCTTCGCGAGTGTTTCGGCGTACTTGGCGGCGGAGAGGTGAATGGAGGAGGCGGATTGAGTTACATTGAGGCCGAGAAACGGTGTGACGTTGTGGTTTACTGTCACCTCCAGCTTCTCCTTGATGTCAGCCTCAAACTGGTTCAGCAGCTCCGTGTCGTCGCCGGTGTAGAGAAGGTCGTCGACGTAGGCGACGAGGAGGATTAAATTCCCGCGCGATTTTTGCGTGTACATTCCGAGGTCGTGCGGCAGCTGAGTGAAGCCGAGCTCAAGGAGGATGGAATGGAGGTACTGCTGCCATCGTTTTCTTCGAATGCGTGCGGCTGCTCGATGAAAATTATGGCATCGACGGAAGCGTATAGGAAGGCGCTGCCGACGTCGATTTGCCGGAGCGGTCGCTGTTTGATGGCGGCGATGCAGAGAAGAATCCGTATCGAGGTGTAGCGGCCGACTGGAGCATAGGTGAGAGTGAAATCCACCAGGTGCGTTTGTTCAAATCCCCGTACCACCCAACGCGTCTTGTACTTGTCGACCGAGCCATCTGCGAGAGTTTGATGCGGAAAACCCATTTTCCGCTGAGAATTTTTCTCCCCTTTGCCGATGACCGAGGGACTAGCTTCCTGGTGCCACGTTTCTTCAGCGGCGCGATTTCGGCGGCCATGGCTGCTCTCCATTTTTCACTGTCGGGGCTAGACAGGGCTTGGCGGACTGTGGTTGGTTCCTTGGGCGAGGTGTGGCGAACAGCGAGTCTTTTCGTAGTGAAGTCGGTCGTAGTCATGGAAGCTGGTAACTTTGACCACGTCGTCATCGCTGTCGTTGCCGAGGCGGAGGGTATCCTGCGACGGGTCGGGTTGTGGTAACTCGGCATCAGGTGAGCGGCGCGCCTCACTGTTGTAGTTATGAGCCTCGCGTGTTATATTGTCACGAACGGGTTGGTGTAGAGGTACGAATATCGGAGTCCCGAATTGGCTTGTGAGGGGGATGCTCGGGGCGGAGTCCATTGGGGTGACATCAGCTGCGTCTGCATCCTCGGCCAGATCAGCGTCGTCGTGTGACGTGGCGAAGCTGCGGTGGCCCTCGAGGAGCCTCTCGGGCAGTTTGTCGGCTGCCTGGTGCTCCTTGAAAAGGGGCAGAGTCAGCTTCTCGTAGAAGATGCAGTCACGTGATTTCGTCACCTCGTGTGTCGCGTAGTCCAGCACGATCCACGCCTTGAATTCCTTTTCGATCCCAAGGTGGATGCCCCATCGTGCCCGGCCAGCAAATTTTCTGGTTCTCGCAGTGTGGGGTCTGTACTGTACCATGCAGCCAAACACCCGGAGCAAGCGTGTATCTGCTTTTAAGCCCGTCCATGCCCGGTAGGGAGAGTTGTTGTTCTCGAGGCTTCGTGAGGACAACAAGTTGTGCAGCCGGACAGCGTGATTCATCCCAAACGGCCAATATTTTGTTGGGATGGCCGACTGCTTCATCAGAGCCCTCATCGCGTGGCGAGGCTTCTATTTGTCCGTCTTGCTACTCTTTGCTGTTGGTGAGCGTAGGGCAGGGACACCATGTGCTCAATCCCCTTCTGTTTGAAGAGCTCTTTGAACTCATCTGAGAAGAACTCCAGGGCTCCGTCCGTCTGCCAGGCTTTGAGTTCTAGACCGGACCGTCGCTCGGCTCGCTTCATCCACGCAATGAAGCACTCGAAGGCCAGTGATCTTCAATCGGTGTTGACGGCCCATACGTAACGCATAGATGCGTCGATGAAGGTAAGTGTGTACTGTTCCCCGTCGAGCCCTTCCTGGCTGAGCACCATAAAGTCGCTGTAAACCTTGTCCAGCGACTTGTAGCGTTCTTACGCTGGGGGCAAATCGGGGAACGGCTGGTGGTTGAGCGACGCGGTTGGGCAGACGATGCACGGCGGGTTAGGTAAGTCCGCGGTGAGGGAACCGTCTCGTGGAAGGAGGAGTGCTTCGTTGTCGAGGACTCGTACTTTGAGCAAGTTTTTGAGCGTTGCGTGGGAGGGATGTCCGAGCCGTTGGTGCCATGTTCCTGGGTCCGCACGGTAACCGACTATCTTCTGATAATATTTTTGTGGCGCAGCTTCGTCGTTTGCCTCCCCTTCAGGTCCTGCGTCAGCGGCGTTGTCGGTATCGACGGCGAGCACGCGGATTGCTTTTCGCTCCAATAGCGCGCGGGGAATACCGATGATGTCGTCGGTGTCGCCGGCTTCGACTTGGTCTCTGGTAACGAGCAGGCACTGGTTGGGCCACTCCCGAACTGGGAGTCTGTTATGGGGATTCTGAAGTAACTGTATTCAGCGCCGATGACCTCAATCTCTTGTGGCGACTAGCTCCTCAACGACAACGGCGCTGACGGAGGTCACCGCTGAGGGCGCGTTAGTCGTTGCTGGTGGTGGGCCCGGTGAGTCTGCAGTAGCTTTTCCTTCAGGAGCCATAGTATTGCAGACTTTGAGGTGCAATAAATAACTTCTGAGAAGAACGAAGACTTGGCAGATCCTATAATCCACTCTGGCTCTCATACCATGCTGATACAACCAAAAGATCTAGTAGATAGGATAGGATCTGCTAAGTCTGAGAGGAGACAATGAAGTCTCCGTAGTGACCTTGTTGTATAATAATTGAAAGAGAACAAGATGATTTGAAAGATAGGAGTATAAGAGATTAAATAGAAATCTAGCTAGCCATGTACTCTGAGGGGTACATTCCCTTATTAACTGTAATGCATAGCTACAGTAACCGCGACTATTGCTATCCTTGGCAGTTACCATGTTGCAGTTAAGTAACTATCGTGCGGTTACTGGATCGTCAAAGGTCACGACCGTTGACTTCCTCAAACGGTTGACCTTCGGGTGGCCCTCGACATTCCGCATGCTCTATATGAGCTATTGCGGTACTGATGCAGTGGGGCAGCTTCAGGAATGCTTTATATAACCTTTCGGTTGTTTCAACAATCCCTACGCATATCATTCCTAAACTCAGACATGCCCTCTAATCCTACACTCAAAGAAGCACTCTAAATTTCCAGCACAAGTTGCATTTATAGTGCTTATCCCCTCCCCACCATCCCATTAACTGCCAGACTTGGGTGTTGATAAGACTCTTTCCCCATCTCCGATGGGAGTGGTGCCGTACCTGCATGATCCTCCGAACCTGCACGTCCGGAACCACACTTACCATACCAGCATGCTGCCTGTCCAGGCCTCTGGGGTAGGCTCGGCAGGTGTTTCTAACTTTGGTGCTCTTCAGAAGTTGGGAGCTTCTTTGGATGGTGGTACTGGCACGATCCTCCAAACCTGACTACGAACCTGCTTCCGAGCCTGCCTCCGAACCTGCCTCCTGAAGCGCCTCAAAGGCCGTTTCTAGCTTTTGTGTTTATCAGAAGCTGCCGTCTTCTTTGGATGGTGGTACCGGCATGATCCTCCGAACCTGCACGTCCCAGTCCGCATGTAGTACTGGCAGACCGGTTGTCCGAGCCTCTCTGGCAGGTTCGGGCAACCTGCTGCTGCTGCTGGCACTGCTGCTGATGATGCTGCTTCTGGCGCTACTGCTGCTGCTGCTACTGCTGCTGGCGCTGCTGCTGTTACCGCTGCTGGCGCTGCTGCTGGTGCTGGTGCCGGTGGTGCATCTGCTGGTGCTGGTGGTGCTTCTGATGGTGCTGGTGGTGCTTCTGATGGTGCTGGTGGGAGGACGGCATGGGGGACCACTAGAGAGAAGAGATGAGCAGAGGCAGTCGCAGCACTACGAGAAGCATCAAGAGGAGGGGCATAAGGAGCAGCAGGAGGAGGAGCAGGAGGAGCAACAAGAGGAGCAAAGGTAACAGCAAGAGAAGGAGCAGCAGCAAGAGCAGCAGGAGCAGCAGAAGGATCAGGAGGAGGAGCAGCAGGCCAAGGAGGCGGGAAAAGTGGGGCAGCGGTGGTAGCAAGAGCAGCGGGAGGAGGTGCAAGAGCAGGAGCAGGAGGAAGAGTAGAGGGAGGAAGAACAGCAGGAGCAGGAGCAGGAGCAGGAGCAGGAGCGAAAGAAGTACCTGCAGAGGGATTAGTGGCAGGGTATTGAGGGTAGTAAGGATAGTGAGGAGGATACTGGGGGTGGTGCGGGTATTGAGAAGGGTGGTGGGGGTATGGAGGATAAGGGGCAACTGAGGATGCGTAGGGGAATGCTGACGTCATGTAGGGTCCTGATGACGTCATGTATGGGGCTGATGACGTCGTGTTGGAAGCTGATGATGACGTCATGTAAGGGGATGATGAGGTCATGTAGGGCCCTGGTGGCGTCATGTAAGGGCCTGATGACGTCATGTAGGGACCTGGGGATGCGGCATATGAGGAAAGCATCTCTGATGCACCTGCATATCCTAGTCCCATGCCCGTACCCGTGCCCATGCCCACGCCCATGCCCATACCCACACCCATGCTGACTGTTTGATTTGGGCTGGGACTAGGTATTACACTTCCCCCACCTCCCCCACCTCCCGCACTGCCGCCCCCTCCTCCCCCACCACCCCCTTGCTGCATGGGTTGGTAGTACTGATGCTGGGGATGGGGAGGGGGTAGGGGCTGGGGTTGAGACTGGTTCGGCTGATATTGTGGCTGCTGCATGTATTGCTGATACTGTTGGTGGTAATGCTGCTGGTACTGCTGCTGATACTGTTGCTGGTATTGCTGGTATTGCTGCTGATACTGCTGCGGATACTGCTGATACTGCTGCTGTTGTTGCTGCTGCTGCTGGTACTGCAGCCTCTGCTGCCGTTTCTTCCTCTGCCCCTGTGCCTTGCTCCCCTGCGTCTGAGTCGTCTCAACACCAGACCCGTGAGTCCTCTCACCCCCTGCTGGCCTAGTCACAACAACACCTACCTCACCCCCTTCTGGCCCAGCCACATCACTCACCGCTTGCTCTTGACAATCATTCCCCCCAGCCTTCCCATCTGTTTCCCCACCTGACTCTCTAGCCACGCTCTCTGGGCTTTCCTGGTTCAGATGGCCTTGCAATGTTTCACCCCTTCCTGCGGCTGCTGCTGCTCCAGTACCTGCTCCCCGTCTAGAGCTGGTAGCAGCTGCATCTGGGCCCTCTGCCATTCCACCTGAACTTTCACCTGACAGTTCACCTGAAATTTGACCTGAATTTTCTCCTAGCTTTTCACCTGACGTTTCACCTGAGTTTTTACCTGGGTTTTCACCAGCATCAGCAGCAGCCGCATCATCAGCAGAAATGATTGCTTCTTCCTTCCTGGATGCTTCCCCAGGAACGATGCTGCTTGCCTGTTGCTTAACTGCCTCCTCTGCTTCTGCCGTGTTTGCTCCTCCAGGGTATAACACCTGCACCTGCTGCTGCTGGGACGGCTGTAGCTGGGACGGTTGTAGCTGGGAGGGATACTGGTAGGAGGGATGCTGCTGGGACGGCTGTTGACCAAGAGGACTCTGGAGCTGGGGAGAAGGATGTAGCTGTGAGGGATGCAGCCCCATCGGCGCCTGCAGCAACTGGGAAGGATGCTGCTGGGAGGGATGTAGGCCGATTGGTTGTAGCGGGGGCGTGTGTAGGTCGGGGTGATGGAACTTGCATGTTGCTCCAAACTTGCACTGCCCTGTTCGAAGGAAGAAGGCGCATTCTGTCTCGCCCTGTGTGTGGCGGTGATGGGGAAAGAGAGGGATGGAGGAGGGGGATTTCTTGGGGTGGTGAAACTTGCATGTTGCTCCGAACTTGCACCGTCCTGTTCGAAGGAAAAAAGCGCACTCCTGTCTCGCCCTGTGTGGGAAAGAGTGGAGGAGGAGGGGAAGGAGGGGGGGAGGAGGAGGTGAGAGTGAGTCCACTTTCAAGGCAGCTAAGGTAACCACATCGCTCCATGCAAGGGAGGGGGAAAGGGGGAGGCTATTCTGTTGGCTCAAAAGTCATGAAAGGAGCAGATTAGAAAGGCACACAGGGTCGTGTTGTGAGTCGACTCAGAACACAGATCAGAAAGGTATGCAGGGAAGTGCGATATCATTGGTGGAAGCAAGGGGAGGCAGGAAGGGAAGACGGTGGGAGTGTGGGGAATTGCTGTTGGGCGGAATGGGGTAGGGTTGATCAGGGGAACGAACAAAGTGCTTACGGGTCCGAGGGGTTAGCTGCGGACGTCGAGATGTGGGTGAAGGAAAGTTTCTAAAACATACCAGTGCGGTGCATACCGGTCTGAGGGGGTAGCCGAGAGCGTTGAGAGGCAGGTGGGAAGATCCGGCAGGTGCTGAGGCGAGTAGCGGCGGATGGTGGAAGGTGCAGGAGGGCCCATACTTGCAAGTGCCGGTCTTGAGATAATACTGGGGGAAGGGCGATGGGGAGAGTGGGGAAGGAGGTGCATGGGAGGGATGTTAGCACGTGATGAAGCTGGTGAGGCGTGTGGTGGGTAGTGGAAGGGTTTTGAGACGTCTCAAAACCCTTCTTCAATCAGCTGGTGAGGCGTGTGGTGGGTAGTGGAAGGGTTTTGAGACGTCTCAAAACCCTTCTTCAATCAGCTGGTGAGGCGTGTGGTGGGTAGTGGAAGGGTTTTGAGACGTCTCAAAACCCTTCTTCAATCAGCTGGTGAGGCGTGTGGTGGGTAGTGGAAGGGTTTTGAGACGTCTCAAAACCCTTCTTCAATCAGCTGGTGAGGCGTGTGGTGGGTAGTGGAAGGTGCACGAGGGACCGTACTTGCACGTGCCAGTCTTGAGATAGTACTGAAGGGGAAGTGGAGGAGGGGAGGGAGAGAGAAAATGGGAGATTTGCAAGGAGAGGGGAAAAATGAGCGGGCGTTGCGGCGAGTAGCGGCGGGTGGTGGAAGGTGCAGGAGGGTCCATACTTGCAAGTGCCAGTCTTGAGATAGTACTGAAGGGGAAAAAGTGGGGGGGGGGGGGGGGGGGGACAGGGAGAGGGATCGGGAGATTTGCAAGACGAGGGGAAGAGTTAGCAGGAGGGTGAGCAGGCGTTGTGGCGAGCGGAGGGTGGTCGAAGGTGCAGGAGGCTCAGCTTTTGAGTCAACTTAAAAGCAGACTCATTACACGTGGAAGGTGCCAGTCTTGAGGGAGACATATGTGAATTCGTTGAATCGCCTATGTGATGGCATGTGATGGCATGTGATCATGTGATGGCTTGTGATGGCATGCGATGGCATGCGATGGCATGTGATGGCATGTGATGGCATGTGATGGCATGCGATGGCTTGTGATGGCATGCAATGGCATGTGATGGCATGTGATGGCATGCGATGGCATGTGATGGCATGTGATGGCATGTGATGGCATGTGATGGCATGTGATGGCATGTGAATAGAGACAGCAGCGGGAGGCTCACCTTGCACTCTGGTTGCCCCGGTCGTTGCGGATAAGGCGTGGCTGGGAGCGGCAGTTGCGCTGACTGGTTGGCCTATAATGAAGGCTTACTTGATGGCATGTGAATAGAATGGAAGGAGCAGCGGGAGGCTCACCTTGCACTCTGTTTGCCCCGGTCGTTGCGGGTACGGCGTGGATGGGAGCAGCGGTTGCATCGCCTGGCATGGGATGGGATGGGTGGGGATGGGATGGGTTGGAATGGGTTAGCACATGACGAGATGGGATGATGGCATGGCAAGGCATCAGGAGGCTTTACCTCCAACCTGGGAGGGTGGTTGAAGCGGCACCTAGGCTCATACGCACAGCTCCCCGTCCGCATGTAATACGCACATTCCTTCTGCTCGCGCATTCCTGCTCGCACACTCCTGAATGCACACTCCTGCTCTCCCCGCAATTACATACTTGCCTTTGAGCCGCCTCACAACACCCTTACCTCCAACCTGGGAGGGTGGTTGAAGCGGCACCTAGGCCCATACGCACAGCTCCCCGTCCTCATGTAATACTCGCACTCCTGCTCCCCCACCCAGTTCCAGCATGCACACTCCGGCTCCTCCGGCCGCTTCACACTTGCTTTTAAGCCGACTGACACGAATCTTACCTCTAGCAGTCTAGTACACTCCTGCACGCACACACCTACATTCTTACCTCTATCAGTCTCGGAGGGTGGTTGAAGCGGCACCTGGGCCCATGCGCACAGCTCGCGGTCCTCATGTAATACGCACACACTCCTGACCCCACCCAGTCACACCCAGCATACCCACTCCGGCTCCCCCGGCCGCTTCATACTTGCTTTAAGGCGACTGACACGAATCTTACCTCTACCCTGGGAGGGTGGTTGAAGCGGCACCTAGGCCCATACGCACAGCTCCCGGTCTGCATGCAACACGCAAGCTCCTGCTCCCTCAGCCGCTGTGGTACTTCTGCCTTTGAGTCGACTCAGAACATACTTACCTCTAGTCTGGGAGGGTGGCTAAACCAACACCTGGATCCATAAGCACAGATACCCGTCCGCATGCAACACGCAAGCTCCAGCTCCCTCAGCCGTTACATGCTTGCCTAGGTTGAGCGACTCACAACAACAAGCTTACCTCTAGTCTGGGAGGGTGGCTAAACCAGCACCTGGATCCATAAGCACAGCTCCCGGTCCGCATGCAACACGCAAGCTCCTGCTCAGAATCTTGCCTACTCAGCGTGCTTCCCATTCTTACCTCCAGCCTGGGAGGGTGGTTGAAGCGGCATCTAGGCCCATACGCACAGCTCCCTGTCCTCATGTAATACGCACACTCCTGTCCTGCTAGCACTCTCCTGCTCCCTTACTGAGGGGCATGCTTACCTCCAACCTGGGAGGGTGGTTGAAGCGGCACCTAGGCCCATACGCAGAGCTCCCGGTCCTCATGTAATACGCACACTCCTGTCCTGTTAGCACTCTCCTGCTCCCTTACTGAGGGGCATGCTTACCTCCAACCTGGGAGGGTGGTTGAAGCGGCACCTAGGCCCATACGCACAGCTGCCTGTCCGCATGTAATACGCACACTCCTGCTCCCCAGGCCGCTGTGGGTACACTGGCGGAAGCTTCCCTGAAGCATCCCAATCCTCCCTCATTCTTCCACCCCCACCACCACCACCACCACCACCACCACCACTGCTACTGCCACCACCACCACCTCCTCCTCCTCCTCCTCCGCCTCCCATCTCAAACCCTCTTCTCTCGTTGAAGCTCCTGCTATTCCTCTGTTCTCCTCCTCCTCCCCCTCCTCTCCCTCCCTCGCCTCCCTCCCCGCCTCCCCTGCTGTAGCTGCGCCCAATGCTCCCTGTGCTGCTGCTATTGCTGAGGTTTCCCGGATAAACCAGTGACCTCCCCCCCGTGCTGCTGCTATTGCTGAGGTTTCCCGGATAAACCAGTGACCTCCCCCCCGTGCTGCTGCTATTGCTGAGGTTTCCCGGATAAACCAGTGACCTCCCCCCCGTGCTGCTGCTATTGCTGAGATTCCCCGGATATACAATAGAATGGGGTAAGCCTGGGGCAAAGTAAGGAGAAGGGATGACGCCCGAGGGAGGGAGAGAGGGAATGAGGGAGGGGAGGGTCCCGTAGGAGGAAGCGGGGGAATAAGCGTAGATCTGAAGTGGTGGAGGCCCCATGCTTCCTGCTCCTGCTGCTGCTCCCACCGCTCCTGCTGCTGCTGCTGCTCCTGCTGCTGCTGCTGCCGCTGCTGCTGGTGGTGTTGCTGATGTTGCTGATCCTGCTGCGCCTGCTGCTGCTTCTCCTGGTGGCTGCATCAGTGTTTGCAGCAGCGGTACTGCTCGCGGCAGCACTGCTGGCATTACTGTTCCTCCTGGTGTTTCTCCTGATGTTTCTCCTGATGCTCCTGGTCGGTGCTCCTGGTGCTGCCAGAACATGGCTGGGTAAGCCATTCTTGGGCCTGGAATAACGGAAAATGTGGAAAGGAGAAGGAGAAGGCTATTTGAGGCGCCTCAAAAGTCTCAGAATACAGCTGGATAAGCCATTCCAAGAGCAGGAAGAATGGAAAATAGGGAAAGGAGGAGGAATGAGCAAGGTGCGTACATCAGATTCGAACAGCAGAGCAAGAGCGACATCAGCTTAATGACAAAATGATGAAATAAGGCTTTCTTCCCAGTTGAAGTAATCAATTTGTCAGCTCACGTGATGCAGATCCCTGTGAAGTATCACACCCACCTGAAGACCACCTGAAGGAGCACCTGAAGGATCACCTGAAGAACCACCTGAAGAATGACCTGACGAACCTCGTGAAGGATCATCCAACCACCTGAAGGATCACCTGACGAACCACCTGAAGGAGCACCTGAAGGACCACTTGAGGGATGGTCTCTTAAATTACACAAGATCTGACGGGGTCACCTGAAGTATCACCTGAAGGATCACTTGACAATTACCTATGATTGTCTGATAGCCTTCAGCTCCTGCCCCATCCAATGTAGCTCCTGTTGTAGTCGCTTCAGCTCCTTCTAATGCACCCTCTTCAAACGTTATATTCACAGCAACTCCGTCGCTCTCCCTGTCCAGTGCGTTATCTTCCCCCATCCGGGGGAGGCTGGTGTAGGGTTAACTGCTGCTGCCTTTTACCAAGGTTGTTCTGGCTCCCCTCGGTAGGCGAGCCGCTTCCTTGCTCTGTCTGTAGGATAAAGGAGTTAGCAAGCGATGTAGGTCCAACTGGGGAAGGCAGAATGCGGAGCAAAGGTGGGTGGATGTAGATTCCAGTCTCCAGATTACTGCTGCTTGCTTGCGGATCACAACTGCCGCCAAATGATGGGTAAATTACACAGCTGATTCCAGATGATAGCAGGCCACGTGCGATGTCAGATCACATTTGCCGCGAAATCACGTCTGCTTTGCTTCCAAATCGCATCTGCTTCGGTTCCAGATCAAATCTGCTGCCAGGTCACGTCTGCTGCCAGATTATGGCGGCTTGGATCATTTACTGGAGCCTTCGGGATTCCGTTGGGATATCTGAGAGAAGGTGAAGTAGGACGTTAAGCAGGAGCTGCTGCTCTCAGTTCTCCCAAGTCCAGCCTGGGTTTTTATCAAAAGGTGACGCTGAGCTTGCCGTGACGTTTGAATCTTAGCTCTCAGTGAGCAATTTCACATTTATTAAATCGCCTATGAACAATCTCAAGAGATCTCAGGAGATTCGGGAACTTCTACTATACACTGAGACTTTCAGCTCGTGGCATCAGCCCTCTGTGACTTATCTTAGCTGTTAATGAACGAGTCTATATTTCTTACGTGGCCTGTGAGCAGCCGTTGGGAGATCTCTAGAAAGTCCAAGAATTCTGAGCGTTGAGCGCATGTTCTGCCGGCTCGGGTTTTCCTATCAGACTCTGATCATATCAATTAGGTGCTCTGTAGTACAACCTGGTTGCTCTTACTGCGTAGTGGCTCGGAACACATGCCCCTAGAGGTGCTTCATACACTCGGTCTTACCAGTGACCGTAGGTCAAACTTAGAACGATAAACGTTTCAAAATTCGTGGGGTCGAATTGTTTCCATAGAGTTACTTCGTAGGATACGCACAAGGATACCACGTGTTGATTACCAATCAGAAAAAAGTATCTGTTGGTCGACATTGCTATGTAACAGGCCACATCACAACTTTTACTAGCAGGATTTGTTCGCAGTCTTAGGTTCGCAGAACTGAGTTCTTCTTTCCTGACTGAAAAAAGGATAAGTGCGCATGCTTTCCAAAAAGGTCGCAGAATTGTTGGGTAACCCAGTGCCGCGATATGTCATGACGACGGACATGCACCATCCTAACAGCAATAACTACTATTTGAGAACTACTATTTGAGAAAAATCTACTCACCTTACAGGGTGACAGCTACGGTGAATGTATTTGTCCAATGCGAGGCCAACTCGCGCGCGCTCTTTGCTCTTCGCCTCCTATGGAACTGGCGATGAATCAAACGGGGACGTTCTTGGTTATTCAAATGGAGGAGCACTGTTCATTGAATGTGTGGATACGGACCATAATTTCTCGAGATATTTCCACCCTCCGGCTGAACTGTGCTGCAAACCAGCCAGCCAGCAGCTCTAGGTAGGGCCACCCGCTGTTTCTCTCCCAGCCTCATATTTGTCTGTGAAGAGTCATTTCTTGGGATTGGGATGGCTGACAAAATTCAAAGTCCGAAAGGCGGCATCTAAACGCGCAAAGCCCGAAAACAAGAAAGCACAATCGTTTGTACACTCACCACCTTCGTGCTTGCCGGGTAAGAAAGATTCAATGTGCGAGCTTTCCCACCCCATTTCCCATCACACGAGCTACAGTTCTTTGACTCCTCCCAGCAGTATACATTTGAACTATCGCAATTTCTCTCAAGTTATTGTAATAATGAAGAAGAAAAGAATATGTTCTTGGTACTGTAAGGTATCTCGTCTTCAGAATATGTTTTTGAATTTGTTGAATATTGTACGTGTACGAGATTTGTTGGTACAGTTAAGGCTCATGCAGGGAGATGTAAACTTCTCTGGGATGGACGGAATAGAAATAAGGTTTTCGCCACCATCTCCATAATAGAAAAGTGGGAATTCAACTAGGCATGTGGTAATCTTTCGAGATACCCAGATGACAGCCCGATAAGTGTGTGATCGACGGTTGCGATAAACGAAACAGGACTGTAATCTGGGTGCTGTTTTCCGTGGTGAGTGGAGAAAGAGGCAGAGAGACAGCGTCCTTCCAGTAAGGCTCAGCATTGAGTGCAGCAGGTGAGCTGGATGTGGACGAAACTCTGAGCCTTGTTTCAAATGTAGGCCTCGCCCCGACTGGAAAACGGCAGCCTTCATCCGAACCAAAGTTATGGTGTATACGTCATGACTGGTCTGGCACATGGCACACCACAACAGCCAATGAAAATAGGAGGTCCTCAGAATTTGAGTCGGCCGTGCCCTTGTTGACACAGCTGCGTTGAGTTGCTCCCACGAGTCAGTGGCAAGATGCTTGACGCACGACCAATGATGGCTGGTTCGGGATGGTTTGGAATCTTTTCCGTTTGGGAAAAGTTACGCGACTTCTTGCACGCACTGTACTCATGCGATCGTGAAGTCAGTACTTTTTGTATCAAAATGCTTAGTGCTTCACACAGTGAAGCTGGGGGGACAAAAATAAAATCAGGTTACAGTATGTGCCCACCACCTCATGAGCTTTGCCCTAAAAGTTTCTATTGCCCACAAACTAGCAGGGATTGGCCAAAATCTACAAGTCTCAGCCAATGAGAAGTACGAGCAATTCCAACCATTCATTGGTCAGCTCACGTGGGGGAAGCTCTCACCCGGGTAGCGCTACCGAGCCCGCTACCGGTTAGTCTGTTGATTGGGGTTAACACCAGACTCGCTACAGGCCGGAGTGGCCTAAGATCGAGACCTTCACCGTCTCCGCAAAGGGTTATACATCTCCAGAAAATAAAACTTGTGTGAATCTACAAACAATAGTACATCAAGGTACTGCCGTACCATCTCAATCACATAACTGCAACAGATATCCTCGACTGATAACAACACCAATGGATGCAACTGTTTCAAATTCTTAGCCTGCATTACTCCCCTCTTCAACAGAGCCCTCCTCCCCATATTCTCAGTCACCCTCAGGACCCACCCCTTGCGAACCGGAAAATCCCATGCTGCTTCCTCTCTTGAAGTTGCCTGAACGCATCCCACAAACAAGCGATATCAAAGAGAGGCAAGGTGAAGTGGAGGGAAGCGGCACAAGTTGGGCGGCAGTGACATCTCTTTTGAGAATTCTCAAAAGTAGGGTGGCGGTGACATCTGAAGTTAAGCACAACACACGTCACACTGGCTAAAAAATATGGCCAGCTTATGAACCTAGCGGAAGAGTATATTCATTGCACTGTTGCTAAGCTGGCCGCTAGAGTTTTATGAATGACGAACTACACTCACTTTTGCATGAGCTTAGAGCGCTCTTTAAAGGCCGTGGGGATGTCCTGACCCTCATACGACTGCAGCACCACCCGAATGTCTGCCGGCCGCTGCCGTGCTACACCTGGGGATCGAGTAACGTAGGGGTGACATTACAGGTCAAGAAAGTCAACAGAGTAAATGGAGACCCACCCCCCCCCCCCCCCCCTCATACGATTGCAGCACCACCTGAATGTCTGCCGGCCGCTGCCGTGCCACACCGGAGATCGAGTAACACAGGTGGTGCTGCAGCACAAGTAGACAGGGAAACTCCTTCTAAAAGATTTTCCCTCTAAAGCAACTCAACACTCACAGCGCTGACTTACGGCATGCAGGCACTCACACTCGAGGAAGGGAAGCAAGTTAAGCAGTGCTGTGTCTGCACCCGTGTCCTTTCATGCCAATAGAGGGACGAGATTCTCCTTCTGAAGCACTGACTGCAGCATTCACTGGCATTTTAGAGCAATCATTGCTCTCCAACTCACACTCGAGGAACTGCAGCAGGTTCAGCAGAGCTGTGTCTGCGCCCATATCCTTCCATGCCGATAGAGGGACGAGATTCTCCTTCTGAAGCACCGACTGGCATTCTCACATGAGAGCTGCTCATGACTCACAGCATGCAGGGTCACTCACATTCGAGGAATGGCAGCAGGTCTAGGAGAGCTGTGTCTGCTCCCGTGTCCTTCCATGCCGATAGAGGGACGAGATTCTCCTTCTGAAGCACCGACTGGCATTCTCACATGAGAGCTGCTAATGACTCACAGCATGCAGGGTCACTCACATTCGAGGAATGGCAGCAGGTCTAGGAGAGCTGTGTCTGCTCCCGTGTCCTTCCATGCCGATAGAGGGACGAGATTCTCCTTATGAAGCACCGACTGGCATTCTCACATGAGAGCTGCTCATGACTCACAGCATGCAGGGTCACTCACATTCGAGGAATGGCAGCAGGTCTAGGAGAGCTGTGTCTGCTCCCGTGTCCTTCCATGCCGATAGAGGGACGAGATTCTCCTTCTGAAGCACCGACTGGCATTCTCACATGAGAGCTGCTCATGACTCACAGCATGCAGGGTCACTCACATTCGAGGAATGGCAGCAGGTCTAGGAGAGCTGTGTCTGCTCCCGTGTCCTTCCATGCCGATAGAGGGACGAGATTCTCCTTCTGAAGCACTGACTCTGGCAGAGAGCTGATGTAAATGACCTTGTTGGGATCGCGATTGAGCTTTGTAAGGTCCTGGTAGGAGCAGGGGTGGAGAAGAGGGAAAGGAGAGGGCAATGGGGCGTGTGAACCACCTTCCATGCGAGCAGGGGGACGAGATTCTCCTTCTGCAGCACTGACTGCCGCAGAGAGCTGATGTAGATGACCTTGTTTGGGTCGCGATTCAGCTTGGACAGGTGCTGATGGGAGATGGAAGGAGGAGGGGAGAGGGAATAGGAAGAGCACCGAGACACATGAAACACCTCTGAAGCGCTGACTGCCGCAGAGAGCTGATGTAGATGACCTTGTCTGGGCCGCGATTCAGCTTGGACAGGTCCTGATGGGAGATGGAAGGAGGAGGGGAGAGGGAATAGGAAGAGCACCGAGACACATGAAACACCTCTGAAGCGCTGACTACCGC